CACTCTCCCGAGTTTTTTTTTTTTTTTTTTTTTTTTAAAAAGATGACCAGTAAGGGGATCTTAACCCTTGACTTGGTGTTGTCAGCACCACACTCACCCAGTGAGCTAACCGGCCATCCCTATATGGGATCCGAACCCTTGGCCTTGGTGTTATCAGCACCGCACTCTCCCGAGCGAGCCACAGGGCCGGCCCTACTGGTCATCTTTAAAAAAAAAAAAAAAAAGTTTGCTAAGGCACTTCAATTCTGGACACACCCACTCTAATATAATACTAGGACATGCCAGTTTCTTTTTCTTTCTTTCTTTTTCTTTTTTTTTTTTATAAAAGATGACGGGTAAGGGGATCTTAACCCTTGACTTGGTGTCGTCAGCACCACGCTCAGCCAGTGAGCAAACTGGCCATCCCTATATAGGATCTGTACCCGTGGCCTTGGTGTTGTCAGCACCGCACTCTCCCAAGTGAGCCACGGGCCGGCCCAGACATGTGAGTTTCTAAAACTTTCTATTTCAATATTCCTTGCAGACTCCCTCAGCCTCCTCCACTTATCTCCAGCTCCCCCCGAGACCCCCTGGGACCCGGGCCTCCATGGTTTTATTGGTAGGTATACTAGGCCCCCCTGAATGTACCAGAGTCCTCTCCCTTGCTTTCTTTTCTATGAAGGATGTCATCTCTTAGCCTAGGGTGCCTAAAGAAGACTAGATATTTCAAGGTCCCTGGGTAGGTGCTTGTATTAGTTTCCTGTGGCTGCCATAACAAAGTACCACAAACTGGGTGGCTTAAAACAACAGAAATTGATTCTCTCAGGGTTCTGGAGGCCTGGGGACTGAAGTCAAGGTGTCGGTAGGGCCGTGCTCACTCTGAAGGCTCTAGGATCTCCCTTGCCTCTTTCTGAGCTTCTGCTGGTTGCCAGCAGTCCCATGGCTTGCACCTGTATCACCCCAATCTACCTCCATCATCACATGACCATCTTCCTTGGTGTTCGTCTGTGTTTCTATGTCTCCTCACATGAGGACACCACTATGACTTCATTGTAACTTTACTTACATCTGCAAGGACCCTATTTCCACATAAGTTCACACTGTCAGGTATGGGGGTTAAGACTTGAACCTATCTTTTTAGAGAACACAAATTAACCCTCAATCATGCTCATGGGTTTCTAGGTTGCAAGGGTGGGGGTTTTCCTAGCAAGGAGGCCTAGGAAGCCTGAAGTCCCTTCTGTGCCCTTTAGGAACTCCTTTCATAAGGGAGAGATGGTAGGAGGAGCTCTCATTCTCTAAAAGTAGGATCTACGGAGACCACAATCAAAGCAGTCTGCTTCTGGAATGTCCACTCCATAGCAATGGGGGAATGAATTGGGGGGCCGGGGCGCATAGAAGGACTAGTCATGCCTGAATCCTCAGTCTCTCTATTTCCACTGTGCTAGTTGCTTTTGAGAACCTGGTAGCTAGCAAGGAACTTCTGAAGCAACAGTACAATAGAGCTTTGTGCATACACTTCTTGCAGATTTGAGGCAGTGCTAGCCCCCTCTTTGTCCCAGTAGTAAAGATGACATCATTCCTACCAGCAAGGCTAAGGAGTTGGGCTGGGCATTGTGTGCAGTGGGGAGGATATTTAGTAATCAAGCTGCAATTGAGGCCAGCTCTTGTCTGGACCAGGTAGAGCATAATCTCAGCCTATGCAAAGCCTCTTGCTGAATTTGAGGCAGCTCTTCTCCCTTAACAAGGAATTAGGCCTAATATCTGGTCTTCTGCTCTTGTCTGGTGCTTAGGAGGGGTTGGTTGCAGGATGATGCGCTGCAGCAGCACGGGTAGAGCTCAAGCTTGTGTCCTATTTGATTAAATTGTGGGGGATGAACCCCTAAGGTGAAATTTACTGACGTCCAGATTCTGGGTTATAGAGATATAGGAGTCACTACTTAGCAACAGGGCCTATCATGGCTGGTGAAGCCTAGAATGTGGTTGCTAAGGAAAGTCATTCTCTAGCAAAGGGAACCATTTATGAGTCCAAATTTATTCTTCTCCAAATAGAAACCAGCTTTTCTGTAACTGTCTATTAAATGATCCCTGCTTTTCGCATTGATTTATGAAGCCACCTGTATTAGTCCATTTTGTGTTGCTATGACAGAATACCTGAGATTTATAATTCTGGGTCAACTATATATGGCGTGGGCCTTAGGCTGCTTCTACTCATGGCAGAAAGCGGCAGGCAGCTGGTAGGTACCTGGTAGGTACAAGCACATCACATGGTGAGAGGAAGCAAGAGAAAGAGAGGGAGAGGAGGTGCCAGGGTCTTTTAAACAACCAGCTGTTGTGGGAATTAATAGAGCGAGAACTCACTCACTAACCCCGTCTGCCAGGGAGAGCATTAATCCATTCATGAGGGATCCGCCCCCACAACTCAAACAGCTCCCAATACTGCCACATTGGGGATCACATTTCCACATGAGTTTTGGGGGGATGACACATCCAAATTCTATCATTCCTCCTGTGGCCCCCCAAAACTCATGTCACTCTCATGTACAAAATACAGTCATTCCATCCCAACAGTCCGAAAACTCTTAGCTTGTTCCAGCACCAACTTAAAAGTCCATAGTCCAAAATCTCATCTGAGACCAAAGGCAAAACTCGTTCTAGCTGTGAACCTGTAAAAATCAAAAACAAATTTATCTACTTCCAAGATACTATGGTGGAACAGGCATTGGCTACACATTCCCATTCCAGAAGGGAATAGGCCAGAAGAAATGGGAAACAGGCCCCAAACAAGTTTGAAACCCAGCTTTATCTTAAAGCTCCCAAATAACCTTCTTTGACTCCAAGCCCTATATCCTGGGCACAATGGGGCATCTGGGCCCCCAAAGTCTAGGACAGCCCTGCCCCCACAGCTCTGCCAGGTGCAGCGCACTGGGCTGCATTGGTGCCTGTGGCTTTTCCAGGCTGGTGTTGCACATTGCCAGTGGCCCAACAATTCTGGGGCTCTGGCGGCAGCCCCGCTGCCTTAGCTCTACTAGGCATTTCCCCGGTGGGGGCTCCCCATGGGGGCTCCAACCCCGCTTTTCTGCTTGACATTGCTCTAGTAGATGGCCTCTGTGATGGCTCTGCCCCAGCAGCAGATCTCTGTCTGAGCTCCCAGGCTTTTCCAGACAACCTCTGAAATTTGGGTGGAGGCCACCATGCCTCTGCTTCTCTCATGTTCTGCCAGCCTGCAGACTTAACATGATGTGGACACCACCGAGGTTTCCGGCTTGTGCTCTCCAGAGCTGCTGCATGAACCACACTTGGGGCTGCTTGAGGCAGGGCTGCTCCAGCCAGAGTGGCTGGGATGCAGGGAGCAGGTTCCTAAGGGCAGTGATGCCCCAGGTCTGTCCTCTGAAACAACTTGGTCCCCCTAGGCTTCTGGGACTGTGATGGGAGGGGCACCCTTCCAGACTTTTGAGATGCCTTCAGGGCCTTTCTCCCATTGTCTTGGCTATTAGCACTTGGCTGCCTCATCACCAAGCTAATGTCTTTAGCAATCAGTCTATCTGCTGCACCCTTACCTTTTTCTCCTGTTCTCTGCTTCTCTACCACATGGCCAGGCTGCAAATTTTCCAAATCTTTAAGCGCTTCTTCCCTTTTAAATTCTGGCTTTCATCCTGCCTTTGCTGCCATAACTCAGCATAGGCTATTGCAAGTAGCCATGCAGCTTCCATAACGCTTTGCTGCTTGGAAATTTCTTCAGCCAAACATTCTGGTTCAAGACTCTTAAGTCCCGCCTTCCTCAAAGTCCTAGGGCATGGACACAATGCAGCCAAGTTCCTCGGTATGATATAGCAAGGACGATCTTTTCTCCAATTCCCAATAAGTTCCTCATTTTTTTTTTTTTTTTTTTAAAGATGACCGGTAAGGGGATCTTAACCCTTGACTTGGTGTTGTCAGCACCACACTCTCCCAAGTGAGCTAACCGGCCATCCCTATATGGGATCTGAACCCGTGGCCTTGGTGTTATCAGCACTGCACTCTCCTGAGTGAGCCACGGGCCGGCCCCCATAAGTTCCTCATTTCTATCTGAGACCTCATCATCAGCATGGCCTTTACTGTCCATATTTCTTTCTTTTTAAAAAAAAAAAAAAAGATGACCGGTAAGGGGATTCCAACCCTTGACTTGCTGTCAGCACCACACTCTCCCAAGTGAGCCACGGGCCGGCCCATTGTCCATATTTCTATCAGCATTCTGGTCACAATCGTTTAACCAATCTGTGAAATATTCCAAACTTTCTTTCATCTTTTTGTCTTCTTCTGAGTCCTCCAAATTCCTCCAACCTTTGCCCATTACCCAGTTCCAAAGCTGCTTCCACATTTTCAGGTATCTGTATAGCAACACCCTGCTCCTCGGTACCAATTTTCTGTATTAGTCCATTTTTGTGTTGCTATAACAGAATACCTGAGACTGGGTAATTTATAAAGAACAGAGGTTTATTTGGCTTACGATTCTGGGACAGCTTCATCTGGTGCAGGCCTCAGGCTGCTTCTACTCATGGTGGAAAGTGGCAGGGAGCTGGAGGGTACAAGCAGATCACATGGAGAGAGTAAGCAAGAGAGAGAGAGAGGAGGTGCCAGGGTCTTTTTAATAACCAGCTGTAGGACTGACCCATGGCTCACTTGGGAGAGTGTGCTGCTGACAACACCAAGTCAAGGGTTAAGATCCCCTTACCAGTCATCTTCTAAAAAAAATTAAAATTTGGGCCGGCCCGTGGCTCACTCGGTAGAGTGCGGTGCTGATAACACCAAGGCCGCGGGTTCGGATCCTATATAGGGATGGCCGGTTGGCTCACTGGTTGAGGGTGGTGCTGACAACACCAAGCCAAGGGTTGAGATCCCCTTACCGGTCATCTTTAAAAAAAAAAAAAAAAAAAATTAAAATTAAAATTAAAAAAAACCCAGCTGTTGTGGGAACTAATAGAGCAAGAATTCAGTAACTACCCCAACCCCCCAGGGAGAGCATTAATCCATTCATGAGGGATTGGTTCCCATGACTCAAACAGCTCCCAACACTGCCACACTGGGGATCATATTTCCACATGAGTTTTGGGGGGACAAAACACCCAAACTCTATCACCACCTTTATCTATGTGCATATGGATTGTATCATTTGTTGATTCTGCTTTATTGGTCTATTTATTTGTTTCTGTGCCAATCCTACATCTCTCTCTCTTTCTCTCTTTTAAAAAAATTTTTATGGGCTTATAGTATGGATTACTATATAACAGGGCAAGTCACAATTATTACTTAATCTAATATATATGTATATAATATATATATATTATATATTCTCAGGTATGGGGGTTAGGACTTGAACTTATCTATTTGGAGGACACAAATTAACACTCAGCAGTACTCATAGGTTTTTAAGTTGCGAGGGTGGGGCCTTTCTTATCAACAAGGCCTAGCAGGGCCTGAGGTCCCTTTTGTACCTCTATATATATTTATTAGATTAAGTGTGTCGAGTTTCTCAAAACTCCCAACTGGTATTTATATTAGATTTCAGTAAATTTATAAATCAACTAGACAGAACCTAGCATCTTCGTAATATTAGTGTCACGTACACAGACACAGACTGCCTCTCCTCTCATTCAGATCATCTTTTAGGTCTTTTATTCAAGTTTTAAAGCTTTTCCCACAGAGATCATGTGTATTCTTAGTTAAGGTAACTCCTAAATTCCTGATAGTTTTTTTTTTTTTCCTGTTTTTTTGGCAGCTGGCCAGTATGGGGATCTGAACCCCTGCCCTTAGTGTTACACCACTGCACTCTAACCAATGAGTTAACCAGTCAGCCCATGACAGTTTTTTTATTTTTTTGTTTTTTATTTTAAAAGATGACTGGTAAGGGGATCCCAACACTTGACCTGGTGTTGTCAGCACCACGCTCTCTGAAGTGAGCCAACCGCCATCCCTATATCGGGATCTGAACCTGTGGCCTTGGTGCTATCAGTACCACACTCTCCCAAGTGAGCCATGGGCCGGCCCCCCATGATAGTTTTTTTAAAAGCAATTTATTTACATATTTTTTTTATTATGGTAAAAGGTACATAACATAAAATTGACCATCTTTACCCCTTTTAAGTGTGCAGTTCAGTAGCACTAAGTATATTCACATTGTTGTGTAACATACCTCTAGAACATTTTCATCATGAAAAACTGAAACTCTATACCCATTGACCACCAACTTACTATTTCCTCTCCCTCACAGCCCCTGACAACCACCATTCTATTTTCTGTTTCCATGAATTTGCCTCTAGTTACCACATATGAATAGAATCATATAGTGTGTCTTTTTTCACTTAGCACAATGACTTATTTCACTTAGCACAATGTCCATGTTGTAGCATATGACAGGATTTTCTTCTTTTTTTAAGGCTGAATAATATTTGATTGTACGTATAGACAACATTTTGTTTATCCATTCATCTATCAGTGTACATTGGTTTTTTTCCACCTTTTGGCTGTTGTGAATAATGCTGCAACAAACATTAGTATGTGTAGTCTGTTTTCTGTTTCTTATAACAGAATACCTGAAACTGGGTAATTCACAAAGAATAGAAATTTGTTTCTTACAGTTTAGAGGCTGGGAAGTCCCTGGTGAGGCCCTTCTTGATGAGAACCCTACAGAGTCCCATGGCAAAGCAGGGTATTGCATGGCGAGAGAATGGGCTCAGCAGGAGTGCTAAACTTCTCATCCAGTCTTCTTACACAGCCATCAGAATCACCCCATGACTCCATGTACAGATCAATCCACTCATGAGGGCACAGTCCTCACTCTCTAATCACCTCTTAAAGGCCTCACCTCTCAAATACCATGATTGGATTTCCCACCCTCTTAACACTGTTACAATGGGGGTCAAGTTTCCAATACATAAACTTTTGGGGAAAATGTTTGTCTCATAGCTCTGTACAAATATCTCTTCAACATTCTGCTTTGAATTATTTTGAATATATACCTCCCTGATAGTTTTTATAGAAATTTGAATGGTTTCTTATTTTGTTATTATATTTTCTAGTTATTGATGGAGTAGAGAAATGCTATTAATTTTAGTAGCTTCATCTTGCATCTGTCATCCTTGCTGAATTCTCTTATTCCGTTGAATCGCTCATTGATTCTGTTGGCTCTTCTGGGTAGATGAGCATTTCATCTGTAAATAATGATAGCTTTATCTTTCCCCTTTCTCTCCTCACACCTCTTTTGTTTCCCTTTTCTTTTCTTTCTCTCTCTCTCTCTCTCTTTTTTTTTTTTGGTGGCTGGCTGGTATGGCAATCTGAACCTTTGGTCTTGGTGTTATAACACTGCCCTTTCTTTTCTTATAGCATTGGTCAGCATCTCTAATACTATGTTAAACTGTACCATAGTAGTGAGCATTCTTGTTTTAACCTCATTCATAGAGGAAACATCTGTAATTTCTCCATTTGCTATGGCTATTTGATAAGAGAGCCCATTGGATCTTCCTGAATCCGGAAGTTTGTCTACTGAGATTTGCTGAAACTTAGAAGGAAGCTCATAAGGAGAGGGCTGCCTGTCAGTAGAAATAGGGCTTGGCTCAGCACTGAGTTTCAATAAGGACCTGTCTATGACCACAGAGGAGGTCTACAAAAAAAAAAAAAAGACCTGTATTTCTCTTTTGACCCTTGACTCTTCTCCCTCTCCTCAGCCAGGCCCACCCCTGGACTTAACCTCCCACCAAAGCTTGGAGACAGATGTAAGTTCTCCCTGATCCAACCAACTCCTGCTGAGTTCCCGGAGTTGGGGACAGAGTATTCTACATGGTGGGGGAGGGGCAGGTGAAGAGCCAGATCTGGTCCATAAATAGCCCCTGCTCTCCTTTCTGCAGACTCTGTTGACCAAATTGTGTGGGCAGGACCGGCTCCTGAGGAGGCTGCAGGGGGAGATAGAGCAGAGGCAGGAGGAGAAGGTATGGGGCACTCAAGTAGGGAAGGGCACCTGGCCTCTCTGTCTGACCTCTAGCATGCTGGATGGCTCTCCCTGGGGCTGGGTGTGGCTTCAGAAGTCTAACTACCTTCCCTCTTGGTGCAGGAGCAGCTAGAAGCAGCCCTGGAGTTGACTCGGCAGCAGCTGGGCCAAGTGACCAGGGAGGCTGGGGCTCCTGGGAGGGCCTGGGGTCGCCAGCGCCTCCTGCAAGACCGACTGGTCAGTGTGAGGGCCACTCTTTGTCACCTGACTCAGGTGAGCATCTAGGAAGGGGCACGTCCTCCCAGGTGGCCCCAGGACTATACAGGTCTTTATAAAGGAGACTCTGAGGGTTCATAGGAAGGTAGTTACTGAGGATTCTGTCCACCCCAAATTTTAAACTAGGAATCTTGACCATCCTAGATGGTAAGGGGCAAGCAGCCAATAAATAGCAGAACTTAACTGAGCAATTTAAGAAAGTGATTTTGATATGGGCTTGCTGGCTTTGAATCTCAGCTCCCACTCATAATAGCTGTGTGACCTTAGAAAAATTACTTAACCCCTCTGGGCCTTAGATGCCTCCTAGGTAAATTCAAGATGATAAAAATAGTATTTACTTTGTAGGGTCATTGTGAGGATTACATTAATATCTGCAAACGAATGAATATTTAACACTTAGTTGCCTAATACTTGGTTAGCAATATGTAAGTGCTAGCTGTAATTATTACTGTCTGTAAAATTGAGACAATAATAGTACCTACCTCACAAGAATTAAACGAATGCTTAGAACAGTGCCTAGCACATGTAAGTGCCCAGTAAGTGTTAGCTGTTATCATTATTATTATTATTGGTATTGGCAAGGAGATTTCTGCTGCCCAGGGGTGCATAGGTGTTGTGGTTTTGACTGTCCCAAGAGTTAATCAGATTTGTAAACTCTGCCGCCCTAAGAAAGTGCAGAAGTAATCCAGTGGATTCACGGAATGCTGTTATTTGTTTTCACCAGCAGCTCATTGGAATTCCAGGTTCCCCATATAGATTCTGGGGTTCCCAGTAGGCCAAGCAAAGAGCCCCATGGGAATTGTAGTTCGTATACTCCCAGGGCACCAGGGACAAGGCCTCTCTTCCTCCTCCTCATCTGGGAAAAGATGAGGTGGGGAAAGATCTGGTGGGCGAAGGTGCTAATCGTGTGTTTCCCCCTTTCTGGGACCTGAGGAGCGAGAGCGGGTTTGGGACACATACAGCGGCCTGGAGCAGGAGCTGGGCACGTTAAGAGAGACTCTCGAGTACCTGCTGCACCTTGGGTCCCCCCAGGTACTTCCCTGTTCCAAAGCCTCAAGCCACACCCTCCACTTCAAGTTCTGTCTGGAAATTGTTTAGACATTGAAGCCCCTCCCACAACACAGAAGCCCCCCCATTTTATCCCAAGCTCCTCCCCTCACTGTCGTTCATTCCAAGCCCCTTATTGTAGTCAAGACCACGACCTTCGTTCTGAGACCTACTTTCAGATTTAGAACCACTCTTCCCTCTGATTCTAACTCTGTCTTCCTTTGTTGAAGCCCTGCTCTTGCTTTCAAAACTCCACCCCTCAGCTCTGTTTCCATCCTGCAAATTCATCTCTTGCATCCTGCAAGTTCACCTCTTGCATCCTGCATCCTGGCTTTTGCTGTTTAACTTAGCCTCTGAAATTCCCAGTTCTAAACCCAACCACTTAGTTCAAGCTCCACTCCTAAAGTATAAACCCCATTGCTCAGCCTCAGTCCCACTACTTTATTCTAAGCCTAGCCATTGATCTCTAAATTATATATCTTTAGTTAAAAACATTCACTTCTGGCATTAAATGCATCCTGATAGATTTAAGCCTCACACTTTTTACTCTAAGCCACCCCTGTGCTCCTGCCCCTCCATCCTAAAAACACCCCTTAACTCTAATCTTCTGCTTACTGGAATTAAATGTCACTCAGCACCAGCAGTATATAAAAAGAACAATACATCACAAGCAATACAATACATCACAGGAATGCAAGGTTAGTTCCACATTTGAAAATCAGTCCATGTATTTCACCACATTTAACAAAATAAGGGACAAAAACCACATGATCATCTCAATAGATGCAGAAAAAACATTTGACAAAGTTCAACACCCATTCATGATAAAAGCTCTCAACAAAATAGGAATAGAAGGGAACTTTGTTAATGTAATAAAAGGCATCTATAACAAACCTATGGTGAAATATTGAAAACGTTCTCTTTGATATCTGGAACGAGACAAGGATGTCTACTATTTTTTTTTTTTTTTTAAAGATGACCAGTAAGGGGATCTCAACCCTTGGCTTGGTGTTGTCAGCACCACGCTCAGCTAGCGAGCTAACCGGCCATCCCTATATAGGATCCGAACCCGTGGCCATGGTGTTATCAGCACCGCACTCTACCGAGTGAGCCACTGGCCGGCCCAAGGATGTCTACTATTACCAGTGCTAGTCAACATTGTACCAGAGGCCCTAGACAGTAATATTAAAGCAGTACAATTAGGGCCGGCCCGTGGCTCACTTGGGAGAGTGTGGTGCTGATAACACCGAGGCCACGGGTTCGGATCCCATATAGGGATGGCCGGTTCGCTCACTGGCTGAGCGTGGTGCTGACAACACCAAGTCAAGGGTTAAGATCCCCTTACCCGTCATCTTTAAAAAAAAAAAAAAAAAAAAAATTTGGGCCGGCCCGTGGCTCACTCGGTAGAGTGCGGTGCTGATAACACCAAGGCCACGGGTTCGGATCCCATATAGGGATGGCCGGTTCGCTCACTGGCTGAGCGTGGTGCTGACAACACCAAGTCAAGGGTTAAGATCCCCTTACCGGTCATCTTTTAAAAAAAATAAAAAAAAAAAAAAAAAAATTAAACAATTAAATAAAGCAAAGGCATAAGGACCAGAAAGTAAGAAGTAAAACCGTTTTTATTTGCAAATGACATAATATGTATATATAGAAAATCCCAAATAATTCACAGATAAACTATTAGAATAGGCAAATTCAGCAAGGTCACTGAATATGAGGTTAATATGCAAAAATCAGTTTTCTTATTTGCTAGTGCCAAACAGTTAGACAGAGGTAACACTCCAGAGCAGTACAGAAAACAGAGTCTTTTCCATTTAATCAGATATCCATATGGAAAAAAATAAATCCTGACTCAGATATAGCCCAGGTGATTTCAGACCCTTGCTGTGGCCTCCTTGTATTTTCTCACTTTTGAGTAACAAATTCCTTTCCTCCCCGCAGGACAGAGCATCTGCTCAGCAGCAGCTGTGGATGGTAGAAGACACGCTGGCAGGTCTGGGTGGCCCCCAGAAACTGCCCCTCCACCCTGAGCCTGACTCCCCATCGCCCGTGCTCCAAGGCGAAGCGTCCTCAGAGAGGGAGGTGAGGTTCACGCATCTCTCTCCTCACCCACCTTTTTCTCTCTCTTGATCAGCTAACCAGCCTCAGGCACGTATCTTAACCTCTGGAAGTTGGTTTCCTTATTTGGTATGCTGTCATCACAGACCAGTGGTGTGCAGGAGCCCGCTCCTAGCAGCCCCCAAGAGCCGAAAGCATGCGCCTCTTCCCAACTCCACATCCAGTGATGTCACACTGTAGCTTGAAATCAACCACTTGTAGGAGTATTTACACCATAGACACTGGCAGACATTAAAATCAGGGCTCTTTTTCCCCAAAGGCATTTTTTAAATATTGACCAGATGCCACTCATCACAACCCACAAGGAGAAGAGATGGTGACTGGAAAGTCCTAATACAGAGGAGGCCTTCAGGAAGCAGGAATGACTGTTGCCCCAGCTGGGTTCAAGCTGCTGCTCGCTCTGACGTTCAGACAATGTGTCCAAAAGACCTGTGTTCAGATCCCAGCTCTGCTATCTTTGTGACATCAGTCATAGAGCTCATGCTGAGCCTCAGTGTTACCATAAGTAAAATAGGGATAATAATAACAGCTGGCTCATAAGTTTATTGTGGGATTCAATGAGATAATGTTTAGCATATTGTCAGATGCATAATCATTATAAAATCTCACTCTTATCATGCCTTGCCATGTGCCAGGCACTGTTCTAAGTGCCTTACGTGGATGGAATCGATCCTCATATGAAAAGGTGAAATATGGCCCCAGGAGAGAAGTAAAGCAACTTGCCCAAGGTCACACAGCCTAATAAATGGCAGAGCTGGGATTGAAACCAGGACATCTAGCTCCCGGTTTGTAATCTTAATCTTTTTTTGGCAGCTGGCCTGCAGGGGGATCCAAATCCATGACCTTGAGCTCTAACCAACGGATCTAACTGGCCAGGCCCTGTCCTACAATCTTAATCACACTCATGCTGTGTCTCAATTGCTAAGTGCTTGAAAGATGGTGGTGATAATGGTAATCATATTCTCCTTTTCCAACCCCTCCAGAGCCTGCCTGAGTCCTCGGAACTGAGCTGCCCTCAGTCCCCTGAGGCTGACTGGGGGCGGCCCCCTGGTGGCGACAGAGACCTCACCAGTTCTCGCCCAGGTGAGAATCCTTGCTGGGTGGGACTTTGTTGGCATTCTCCTTCCTCACCAAGTCCCTTTCTGTCCTTCCAGGTCTTGCGTCTCCGAAGATCTCCCGGGCTTCCAGCCCTGAGAGTCGCCAACCCCCTTCACCGCAGCTGGGAACCAAGGTAAGTCATCCATGGGGCCCCCATAGTCCGTCTTGTAATCCTTTGATCTGACCACCATGGACCCACCACTCCTGGGGAATCAGCTGGGAGTGGGGAGTTCTAAGGCTGCGCCCAGAGCAGAGAGAGTGTTATTTGTTAAGAGCATTTGGGATTGAATTTTGTCTCTGCCACTTTTTTTTTTTTAAAGATGACCGGTAAGGGGATCTTAACCCTTGACTTGGTGGTGTCAGCACCACGCTCAGCCAGTGAGCAACCGGCCATCCCTATACGGGATCCGAACCCGTGGCCTTGGTGTTATCAGCACCGCACTCTCCCGAGTGAGCCACAGGCCAGCCCTTTTGTGAAGGTTCTGAGGCAGGAACAAGCTTAGCAGGTTGGAGGAGCAGCTAGAAAGTAAGTGTGGCTGGAAGTGAGTGAGCGAGAGGGGGAGTGAGATGGGAAGAAGACAGAGAGGGGACGGGGGCAGATGGCACTGAGCCTTGTGCGCCCGCGTGAGTGCGGGCTGTGCTTTGACTCTGAGTAACCCCGGGCCGCGGTGGGGCCCCGCGCGGAGGGGAGGGAGCGGCCGTGAGTGCAAACGGGCGCCCTCTGGTGGCCGAGTGGGAAACAGTCTGTGCAGGGCGAGGACCGAGGCGCGGAGCTCAGAGAGGAGCACCCGGGACGGTCCAGCGGCGACGGAACGGTTGTTTGCACTGGGTTGAAAGAAATGGAGATGGAAAGGAAGTCCGGTTCTAGATACACCTGTCTTCAAACTTTATCCACAACCCTTGGGACAGGATATGATTCACAATGCAAAATTTTGCTGACTGGCTGGTTAGTTCAGTTGTTTAGAGCACGACGTGTTGTAACACCAAGGTCAAGGGCTCGGATCCCTGTACTGGCCCGCCACAAATAAATAAATAAACATAGAACAGTAATATGATGCATAGACTGTGTATTATATAAAACTTCCAGAGCCGGCCTGTGGCTCACTTGGGAGAGTGCGGTGCTGATAACACCAAGGCCACGGGTTTGGATCCCATATAGGGATGGCCGGTTCGCTCACTGGCTGAGCGTGGTGCTGACAACACCAAGTCAAGGGTTAGGATCCCCTTACCGATCATCTTTAGGGAAAAAATAAAAATAAAAAATAAAAAATAAAAATAAAATAAAACCTCCAGCAGCGTCTGGTGCAGCACCCTTAATCAAACAATTAACATTTCTTCAGTAAAACGTATGAATATCCATACGAAATGGGATAAAGGCTATAAATAATCCCAATTTAAATGTCAAGTTTATTTATATAGCTACAAACTATTAAATAAACTAGACAGCGTGGAATAAAAATAGATTATAAATATAAGACTGTTTTTATTTTTAAAAAATTTTAAATTTATTTTTTATTAGCATATACATTGTTACAAATCATACTTATTCTTTATGCCCCTTACCCAATCGCTGCCCTTCCCCCCTCCTCCCTCCTTCCCCGTCCCCTTCCCTCCTTTCTCCTGCCCCTCCTCCACTTCTTCCTCCCCCTCCCTCCTCTAATAACCATAGATTCACTTGATAATTTAGATACAACTGTGGAGACACATCTGCAACCGTGACTCTAGGCTTCTCTACTTAGAGGTTAATTCACACATCATTTTGTTTGTTACACAAAATGTCAAGGCCCCCTGAGACTAGAACAATGGAGGTGAATTGATAATAACCCAGGATGGCCTCAGGCCAACATGGGGGATGGGTCTTGATAACATCTGGATTTATAACTGGTTACAGATGATCTGTCCAGAACTGAGACAGGTGCGATCCAGCCCTCCCCTATTATTGTAAATCAGATGTTTCTTCTATTACTTTGGAGTGTGATTTGTGGTGAAGTGTGGAGAAAGAGGACCTCTTTCTCCTTCTTTGTTTTTGGTCTCCACTGGTGCCTCTCCTTGTGTCAGTGCAATTGAGAGTTTGGTGTACCATCTGCATGGTGGCTGTGACTGCTCCTATAGAGATCCGCTGCTTTTGTGGCAGCCGTGGCAATTGTGGTGGCTATGGTGGGCTACCTGCATGGAAATGGTGTTTTTGGTGTGCTCTTTACCTGGTTGCAGCTGGGTTTGGATTCCCCCGGCCCCATGCCTCAGGACCCTGGCGGGGCCCAGGACAGTGGCAGCAGCTTGCCTAGTTGTGGCTGGGTTGTGACTTCCTGAGGCAGTTTTTATTTCTAAGGAAAAAATTTACTAAAACATCATGTCACACATCCAGGTACAAATGAAGCCAACTATCTGAATCTACACATGCTGTAAATGCTCATGGCACATGGTGGCTTGAGAACTCTAGAGGCAGGGGTCATTGGTCAAGCCACCAGTGCCATCACGGAGGTGGAGCTGGACATCTGAGGTGGGTCCAGGAGTGGGCTTCCTCAGGAATGAAGCAGGTGGCCTTTGCAGAGTTTCTTGCTCTGTCACCTGCTCCTAAACAAAAGATCTACCTAGGCAGTCCCCCTCCCTTTTCTTCTTTTCTTTTCTTCCCCCTTGCAGGACTCACAATCTACAGGCAGTCTCTTTTTAATTGAATAATAGGTAAAAATCTGTTGGTCCTGATGTTGAAGGTGAGCGATGAGTTGATTACCCGTTTCACCATTTCATCCCTGGGGAGTTTGCCCCTTGTGTTCCCAATGTTATCAACAGAATTGCTATGATCCTCTTGAATGCCCAACAGGTGAGTTATAGCCAGCACCCAGTAGAAGCTTCCACTTGTCCCTGATTATCTTTGGAAATAAGTCAGAAGGTTCAATGTCATCCTCTTCTCATGAGTGACACCAAATCTAGTTGCTTGCAGACTTTTGGAAAAGAAGGGTTTTTTTGTTTTTTATTTATTTATTTTTTGTTTTGATTTTTTGACCGGTAAGGGGATCTTAACCCTTGACTTGGTGTTGTCAGCACCACACTCACCCAGTGAGCGAACCAGCCATCCCTATATGGGATCCGAACCCGTGGCCTTGGTGTTATCAGCACCACACTCTCCCGAGTGAGCCACAGGCCGGCCCTTGTTTTTTATTTTTAATTTTATATTTCATCTGCTGATTCACTTTCAAATATCACTGGAGCTCTAAGTCTGTGCCTGCATTTGTCTGAGATAATTTTTTTTTTTTTAAAGATGACCGGTAAGGGGATCTCAACCCTTGGCTTGGTGTTGTCAGCACCACGCTCAACCAGTGAGCAAACTGGCCATCCCTATATGGGATCCGAACCCGTGGCCTTGGTGTTATCAGCACCGCACTCTCCCGAGTGAGCCACGGGCCGGCCCTGTTTGAGATAATTTATGAACCTCATTCTGAGTATTAGCAGCTGCAGATGTGGCACCCGTAAGAAGACTTGAGTCCTGGATTTCCCAATATTTGTAGCCAGTATAGTTTTTTTTTCCCTGAAGGGTGGTGGTGGTTATCTTTGCTCTTCATGGATTATAAAATTCCATGGTATAGCTGTATTTAGAGATGCCATACTAGGCAGAAAGCACATGCCCCCCAAATACCACAGTTCACAAGACATTCAAGAAGGGGATTTCCAGAGAATTTTTTTCAGGAACAAAAACTTGACAATTTTCTTCCAGTCTCACTAGTCTGCAACAATCTGGTGCTGCTGGTACAAGGTGATTACTGAACTTGTCCAAAATTTTTTTCTGGGTGCCCATGATTTCTTGTTTGTATAACAATGCCCAGGAAAACTGTAGACATGTTCCAAACATCTTGGATGATGTCTTTTTTCAGGCACTGCTGACTGTGCCTTGGGTGGGTCTATGTTCTGGTATGCTCCAGAACAGACCACCTGAGCCTGGCCTCCTTCAAGCCTGCCTGTATCTCTGGTGATGATTTTCTAGGCACATAGCATCACTACAGAGCTGTTTTATCCACAGTTTACATTTTTTCAGAACTCAGTTTTCATCAGATATCAACACAGCAAGCTCATCAATGTAACTTTTTTTTTTTTTTTTTTTTTTTTTTTTTTTTTTTTTTTTTTTTTTTTTTTTTGCAGCTGGCTAGTACAGGAATCAAACCCTGGGCCTGGGTGTTATAAGCACCATGCTCTAACCAGCTGAGCTGACCGGCCAGCCCCTCATCAATGTAACTTATGATTTGCAGATGTTCTGTCACCCCAGTCAATCAAATATTTTACATCAGGATGCTTCTTCAGCGTTGGCAGCCAGTGCTCCCTTTCAGTGTTCAGGTCTTCGTGGAATGTTCTTAGCCTGTTTCATGATCAAAAGCCAGCCAGGGGCATCCAGCTACTTCCTCATCAATGCATGGCCCAGGTCTTCATGTTTCGCCGTATGCAGAGTTTCTCTGCTTGTCATAAGTTCCCAGTCATCACCCCCATAAAACTCTCACAGCATGTCTTTCTGTTTATGTCATGTCACATATGAGGGTAGCTTGGGCTCCGCTGAGATGTCCCAGTGACACTCCGTTCTACTTTCTGAGCTCTTGGAAATGACTGATGTTTTCGTTGCTTCTTTTCATTGCTATCCATTGGGCTATCTTTGGCTTTCTTTTTTGGCATCTTCAGAGAGCAGTTAAACTGGAAGTCGTAAATAACAAAAAACACCAAAAAAAAAGGGCCGGCGTGTGGCTCACTTGGGAGAGTGTGGTGGTGACACCACCAGGTCAAGGGTTAAGATCCCCTTACTGGTCATCTTTAAAAAAAAAAACGAACGAAAACCCCCCCAAAAACCAGCAGTGGACAGCAGCAGCCTGGGCAACAAGGGGATATGTAAGACACAGTTGATGCCACATATCACGTCAGGCAAGGTGGACCAGCAGGTGGTTATTGGCACCAACTTTAGGAAAACAAATGTCACTTTCCAGATTAAAAAAAAAATTTTTTTGGAATTGCATTTAAGAGATTTTAGGATCTTATTTTGAAGGTGAAGCCAACAGGAATTCTTGGGAGATTATAGGTGGGGTGTGAAAGGAAGAGGGGAATCAAGGATGACTGAAAGGTTCTTGGCCTGGGCATCTGGAAGGATGGGGCTCGGACAAGTCTGGCTTAGAGAGTAAGAGTTCAGGTTTGTGATTATTCTCATTGGTGGCATGGTGTGTTCTGCATTTGCCTGGGAGCTGTGGTTCCTGAACCAGGCCAAGCCCCAGCCATTGAGAAGCTTTAGGTTTAAACATGATCAAAACAGAGGGAAGCATGTGCTGTGATGGTGAAAGCACAAGACACTGTGGGACTCCAGAGGACAGCTCCCAGACTCAGCCTGGGCATATTGGGATGGTTTCCTGGAAGTGGAAACTTTGGAAAGTGAGTTAGAATTTACCAGCTGGCAAGGCAGGCAAACAGCTTGTGCAAATGTCCAGACTTAGGTGGAGATTTAGGAAGCTATTAACCAGGCCTCCACTAGCCATACGATGCCTTTTTGTAAATTAGAGACAGACACTCCCTCTGGGTGGGCACAGCATGGCTTGATCAGTAGAAGGCTCAGCCCTTGGGCAATGTGCAACCCATACAACTGCACACGGTCTCTCAGAAGCACAGAACTCTGGTCTCCAGAATCTTTATTCCCCAACTGAAGGATTGTTCAATTCAGGTCAAGAGACATCTCCTGACCCTTCTAGAGTGCCACACTCCACTAGGCTTGATCCCCAGACCAGTCCCTGTCTTCAATGACCTACACTTTTGCGCTGAATTTGCTGTGTAGTGAACCTTTCTATCACGAGCACCATATTTCTATGGCTCCCTCCATCCTAAAGCTGGCAAAGGATTCCTGCAGAAAAAATACAGCTTATGGATTGGGCAGGAACATTCTGATGCCCGCTAGGACTTCAGCAATCCAAGTAGACTGTCAGGAGAGCCAAGAAGCTGCTGCCTTTCTCTGTCCCCCAAACTTTTAGGTGTGTCTACCACAGGAAGAAACCCTAAATCCCTTTGTTTGCTCAAAGTACGTTTCCTGAGGCTTTTTAGGGGCCTGGTCCTGTGGAAAGTTTTAGCGGCACAGCCTCGAATTAGACCTGATGCTTGAGTCTGATAGGGGAGAGAGGCGCAGAGGCAATCCTCGTACATATCCAACAGGGATAAGTCATTTCATAGGCAGACTTAGATTACTGGGGAAGCCTTTTAGGGGATAGTTGAGCTGAGCCTGGATAAATGCAAAAAGGGTTTGCAGAGAACAGTGCTCCAAGCAGAGGGAACAGGCTATATATGCAAAGGCATGGAGGTGATAAAGAAAGAGGCTGCTGCTCTATATCAGAAGCAAAGAGGTGGATTTATTACTTGCTTAAGCAAGATAGACCTATATTTGTAAGATAGTCTCCCTGAGCAAAGTGAGAACTCATATAACGTGGAGTTCAGAAATTGGTGGACTTTTGAAGGCAGGACTGTTTAGGAATTGGTTAATCTTAACCTAGGAAGCTCTGTGTCTGTTACTGATTGGCTAATTTTCAGACTCATGGGGCCATCTCTGATTGAGGGGCTTTCAGAAGCAAGGTTGGGGTACCGGTTGTGATTGCTCAATCAAGCAGATTTAAAAGCATTTCTGGTGCTTCCTTGTTACCATGGATAAAAAACCAATCAACCCTTTCCTGGGAAGAGAACATTTTTTATTCTCAGTGGTATGTGTAATGGACAAGGATCTGGGGACTTCTTGGAGCAACACTTAAATTGGGAATTATTCCTCCCTCATGCTAACCACGTGGTTCAGGGACTGCCAGTGTCCAGAGCACAGGCGTAGGGTAGTGAGTTCCAGTGATTTCAGGGCAGATCAAGGAAAAATATATGACCATGAGGTGGCAGTAGCACACACAGAGTTTTATCTGGGCCACGCTTTGACAGGTTTGCCCGTGGGAGATGTCCCTCCCAGCATGAGGCCCTCTGGAGGCTATAGACGAAGTGGAAGCCACCTTACAGAAGGGGAGGAGGGCAAGGGGATTCCCGGGAGAGAGGGGGATTGGAGAAGGGCTGAAGTGTCTAGGGGAGGCCGCTCAGCAGCAAGATCAGGAGTCTCTCGGTCAGAGAGCTCCAAAGAGCAGCAGGGACTTGAGGTTCATCTTTGCAGCGTACAAAGCAGCCCGGCTCTAATCGGCTCAAAACGTCTGCTTGTCTGGACTATGTTGAAAGCCATTGGGGCTGCCTGGTTGGCTCAGTTTGTTAGAGCACAGCCTTGTAACACCAAGGTCAAGGGTTTGGATCCCCATACTGGCCAGCTGCCAAATAATAATAATAATAGAACAATCAGAAAAAAATTGGGAAAAGAATGGAAATAAGACAAAAAAAAGAGAAAGAAAAAAATAAAACAATTGTATGTGCAGAAATTCTAGTTTGGTGCTGGCAGGTTTTGGGGCCAATAGTCTGGCCTGCTGTGAAGACATAACATAGACTGATAGACACGGGCCATCATTTGTGCAACACAGGACTCAGGTCCCGGTCAAGTCAGAGAAACTGCAGCAATTGGTCCTATGGTAAGCAGTCGATCCAAGCTGTTTCCCTGGAATTTTCTTTTTTTTTTTAAAAGATGACAGGTAAGGGGATCTCAACCCTTGACTTTGGTGTTGTCAGCAGCACGCTCTCCCAAGTGAGCCAACCGGCCATCCCTATATAGGGATCCGAACCCTTGGCCTTAGTATTATCAGCACCACGCTCTCCCGAGTGAGCCATGGGCCGGCGCTTTCCCTGGAATTTTCTTTTTTCTTTCTTTTTTTTTTTTTAAAGATGACCGGTAAGGGGATCTCAACCCTTGGCTTGGTGTTGTCAGCACCATGCTCAGCCAGTGAGCAAACCGGCCATCCCTATATGGGATCCGAACCCGGGGCCTTGGTGTTATCAGCACCGCACTCTACCGAGTGAGCCACGGGCCGGCCCTTTCCCTGGAATTTTCTAACTGGAGACTGCAGCAGAGAGTTCTGTAGGCTATAAGTCTGAAGTCAAGGTGTCAGCAGGGTCATGCTCCTTCTGAATGTGCTGGAGAAGGATCTATTCCAGGCCTCTCTTATGGCTTCTGGCAGCAGAACTCCAATCATTACATGGTGTTGTTCTCTGGGTGTGCATTTTCTGTGTCCAAACTTCCTCCTTTCTTGCATGTTAACACATGTTCACAGCCAGGTAGCTCTAATGGTCCATTTCCTGCCTGTAGAATCACAGAAGTCTGACAGCCTTCCTTCATTTTGTCCCATCTCTGTCCCCTTCCTTTCAAGCTGGGAGTGTTTTTTTTTTTTTTAAAGATGACCGGTAAGGGGATCTTAACCCTTGACTTGGTGTTGTCAGCACCACGCTCACCCAGTGAGCAAACCGGCCATCCCTATATGGGATCCGAACCCGTGACCTTGGTGTTATCAGCACCGCACTCTCCCGAGTGAGCCACAGGCCGGCCCTGAAGCTGGGAGTGTTTCTGCTGAGATGATTTATTGAATACTTAAGTTACATGTCACGTGCCTAATTTCTTAGCAAACGGTTGTCCAGCCACACCATTGATGTTCTCTCCAGAACATCCTTTCTCAATTTTTGTAATATGACTAAGGTCTGGTTGGTTAGCTCACTCGGTTGGTTAGAGTGTGGTGTTATAACATGAAGGTCAAGGGTTCAGATCCCTATGTCCACCAAAGGAGGGAAAAAAAAAAATATATATATATATATATATATATATGTATATAATATGACTAGCCTAAGAATTTTCCAAATCTTCAAGTTCTGGTACTTTTCTTTTTTTTTTTTTTTTTTTTAAAGATGACCGGTAAGGGGATCTCAACCCTTGGCTTGGTGTTGTCAGCACCACGCTCAGCTAGCGAGCTAACCGGCCATCCCTATGTGGGATCCGAACCCGTGGCCTTGGTGTTATCAGCACCGCACTCTCCCGAGTGAGCCACGGGCCGGCCTTCTGGTACTTTTCTGCTTCACATTTTTTCTTCTATTTATCTCTGTCCTCTAAGTCACACTGTAAGTTCTGGAGGTTAGAAGTGGTCAAGGTGTTGGCAGGGCCATGCTCCCACTGAGAACACCAGAGAAGGGTCTGTTCCAGGGCTCTCTCCTAGCTTCTCCTGACTTCCTTAGCTTGGGGCAGCAGAACTCCACTTTTCACATGGTGCCCTCCCTGTGTTCATCTTCCCTCTGGTTTTAAGAACAAAAGAAACAGTGAATGTAAGAGAGAGCTCACCAAGTCCTCTCTAAGGCTGACCCAAACTGATCATCTCGACAGTTTAGTCCGCCATGAATCCCATTCTCCTTTCGTTGTTGTCAAAGCTAGTTCAGAGTTGGCTTTTGGTCATGAGCAACCCAGAGTCCTGACTATTAGAGTGTGAAGAAGCTTGATATGTCCAGGGAAGTGTGAGTGTTTCATTCAGGCAAGGGCTTTGGGTTAAAGCAGGGCAGCTAATGGAGTGAGGCCAGAGAGGTGAGTAGGGGCCAGGCCACAGAGGGCCTCAAAGGCCTTTGTCCTCAGGGTGCTTGGGCACCATGGGAGGACTGTGAGCAGGGGAGGGACAGCATCAGCTCTGGGTGTAGAAAGAGCCCTCTGAGGTATTGCAGTGAATTTACTTGAAAGGGCAGCCTACAGGCCGAGATGTTCAGGGAAAAGAGATAAAGAGGCCCAAGGTTGGGTTCTTGGGGTTTTTCTCGTCTCTGCAGGCTCCCATGGCCCGGCCCCGGATGACTGCTCAGGAGCAATTGGAGCGGATGCGCAGAAACCAGGAATGTGGACGTCCCCTCCCTCGCCCTGCCTCTCCCCGGCTTCTCATGCTGGGGAGAACACTGTCCCCAGCCAGACACCAGCCTGACGTGGAGCAAAGGGTGAGGGGAACAGGGTAGGGGGTCGGAGTGGTGGGCTGGAAGTGTGTCTTCTACTCCTAGTTTGAGTCGGTCTCCCTTTCTGTAAAATAGGGATATTCCCGACCTCTTCACCCTGAATTGGGTTTCCAGATTCACCCCCACTTGAATTTGTGCTAAAATCAGCTTCCTGGCTCCCCTAGCTGTGGATGGATGGTGGGTAGTGGTGAGGGGAGGACAGAGACAATATCTCCCTTTAGGGTGGGGTCATGGATCTGATCTGAAGCCCTGTTTTCCTTCTCAGCTGCTATGTGTTGTCAAAGGCAAAAAAAAAAAAAAAAAGAGCAAGTAAGGAAATTGATTTTATTCACACTAGTACAATAGAGAGGGCACCCCAGATTTGAAGATCATAGTGTCTGTGATACCTTAGGATTTTTCTTTCTTTCTTTTTTTTTTTTTGGTGGCCAGCTGGCATGGGGATCTGAACCCTTGATCTTGCTGTTACAAGGCTGTGCTCTAACCAACTGAGCTAACCAGCCAAGTTAGACTAGTCATAGGTGTGTGTGTGTGTGTGTGATTTCTTAAGCCTTTCAGTTAAACATCGTAAATGTCTTTGGGCCATTTCATCCCCTCTCTCAACCCCCTTCACTTCACCCTCAATATGAGAACGTGGATTTTCTAGGTCAGGAACCCTAATGCCCCAATTCCTTTCTAGCCTGTCCTGGGACACTCAGGAGCCTCGAAATGGCTCAGAAGCTCGGGGTCTTGGAGTAGGTAAGAAACTGGAGGGTGGGTCAGGGGAGCAGGGAAATCAATTTGCAAAAGAGAAGTAGCATTATTATTAAAATCTCCTGGGTACTGAACTACAAGTCACAAAACTTTTAGACGCTTGAGTTCCCCGGCATCTGAAACAATATCAGAAAGCCCTAGATCCGCAGTGAGAGCTGCAGTTCCTGTAACGCTCTTGGTCGATCCAACCCCTCCTTCGAGGTCATCTGGTAAAATTGACGTGCGACTAGACTACAAATCCCATAATGCACGCAGGCTGTATGAAGGCAGCTCCTTATTTATAGTCCTTTAGAGACACGTGCTAGAGACTACAACTCCCAGAAGGACACGCGAGGCACCCGGTCCTCACGCTTTGGGCTGACTGTACACCCCCCGGCCTCCAAATCTTCTACTTTCTCCAGTCCCAGGAACACCACCCCTTACTTGCCGACATCCGAAGGTCACCGGGAGCGGGTCCTCAGCCTCTCCCAAGCCCTGGCCACTGAGGCGTCGCAGTGGCACAGAATGATGACTGGTGAGGGGCTGGGGATCTTGAACTCTTGGGTTTTAGGGAAGAGGGAGCTGGAGGCCCGGAATCCTGGGTCCTGGTGAAAAGGGGTCTGGGGGCCGCTGGGAATCCTTTGTGTTGGTGAGGAAAGGGTGGGCCGGGTTTGGGAGCTCGAGGTCCCAGGCAAGAGGGGACCGGGGTCCGGACGGTAGGGAGGAGGGGGCGGAGGGACTGGGAGCCGGACACCTGTGTCTCAGAGCGCAGTGGGTTGGAGGGACCGGACTCCTGGGTCTGAGAGAGGAAGGGCCCGCTGGGTCCGGAAGCCCCGGACCGCCCTGAGCCCCGGAGTTCGCCATTTCTCACTCTCCACCCATCCCCTCCAGGTGGAAATTTGTTTTGCGTTTTCATTTTATTTTGTTTGGGTTTATCAATATACAACGCAGTTGATTTCCGTGTCCCTTCACCGGTCCCTCCCCCCTCCCCCCCATGTCCTCTCTCCTCTAGGTGGCAGTTCCGACTCCCGGGGGGATCCCCTCCCCCCCGCGCCGCCGCCTCCCTCGGATCCCACGCCCCAGGCGACCCCGCCCCCAAGGTCTCCTCCGGCGGCGGATTCAGGCCCCGCCCCCTGGGAGCCCACCTGGGATTCCGGGTCCGCCCCGCCCACCCTGGCCCAAGCCGAGGGGACGTGGCCTCTGAGAGTCACTCTGCTGCAGTCCAGCTTCTGAGCTGCCCAAACGCGGCAGCCGATCGGGCCGCGAGGGCGTGGCCCGGAGGTGCCGTCCGGAGACCTGAGACCCCTCAAGCCGTCTGGGGACGCACGCTGGTTCCCGCCAGCGGCCTGGACGGGGAGTGGTTTCTATGGCCAAAGTTCGGTTTTCCCAACACTGTCCAGATTTGGATTAAAACTTTGAACTCTCAGTCAATAGCCTTCTCTCTGTCTGTTTGAGGTTGTGACACTGGGGTCTCCGAGGGTTAGGGTTAGGGCGGGGACGAGACTCGCGGATCTCCAGGCTTCCTGCAACGCCCCCAGGGCCGGGCTTCCAGCAGCCAGCCCCACCTACGGTTCCATCCCACCGCCTGCCGGACCTCGGAGGTGGGAAGAGGCCCGGGGCGAGTGACAGACAGACAGACTGACGCGGATGGCTGCGGGGACGCGCTACGCCGGGAAGGTGGTGGTCGTGACCGGGGCCGCGCGCGGCATCGGAGCCGGGATCGCGCGTGCTTTCGGTGGGTAGGGGGTTGTGGCGTCCGGGAGAGGAAGGCTGGGGCCGGGGCGGCGGGCGGCGGCTGGGTGTGGGGAGAGCCTCCAGAACTGGAGTCAGGACGCTGGCCTTGCGAGAGCCTATCTGCCCTGTTAATGTAGGGACGTGCGGTGGCAGCGGGCGCCCGGGTGTCTGGCGGGATCTCCAGAGGCAGTTGCTCCCATCCTCTAGGTCTGTCATTGTAGCTGCAAAACGGGTCGTTTAAGGAATGTGACTCTTGCAGATTTGGGGTTTATTCTGCAACCTACGATTGGGGGCTCAGCAGCCCCAACAGGCCTGTGGATAAGCCAAGGGAAATATGTGTCAAGGCCTCTGCCCTTTGTCCCAGGGGATCATCATGAGACTTTCTTTGGGGTCACGAGGGGAGGGGAGGGGAGTTAGGCCCCCTCCAGGGGGCCACAAGGGGGCAGCAGAGGCCTTCGCCGAGCCGAGGTCTACGCCAGGGTGACCTGTTTTCTTCCTATTCCCAGTGGACAGCGGGGCCCAGGTGGTTATCTGCGACAAGGACGGTGAGTGAGGGTTCCTCAGTCCCCGTCCCACCCCCTCCTCGCTCAGACCCAGGTGTGCACATCCTCGCTCGTGTCTCCCTGCAGAACCTGGGGGGCGGGCCTTGGAGCGGGAGCTGCCTGGAGCTGCCTTTATCTTCTGTGACGTGACTCAGGAAGAAGATGTGAAGGTGAGCGCATGACCTGATTCTGCTCCTCGTCTCTAACGATTTCTCTCTCCGTGTCTCTTTCTCTCTCACTTTAGGCGTTTCCACATCCTGTTCCCTTTGCCTTTCCCTCCTCTTCTGGCTAAGTTGTGCCTGTCCCAAAGGTCCCAGCCCAGTGTCATACTCCCCTTCCCCCAAGGCTCTCCTGATGCTGATGGGCAGGTCATGTGTCTCCTGAGTAAATTCTCCTTTATCTCCCATGTCTTCAAGGCTTTTATGGCTCCTGTCATGTGGATGGGAGTGAACAAATCCTCAAAGTGGGTCCCCTTCTGTAACATTTTTTTCCTCCTTTTCTGGGTTTCTATCCCTTGCCTTTAATCAGTATCTCTCTGTTATCTGCCCCCTTGGGTCTCTGTCACCTTCTCTGTGGGTTTCTGTCCCCTTTTCTCTGGGTCTCTATTCCTCTCTGTCTGGGTCTCTGTCTTGCTCTCTCTGGGCTTCTGGCCCCCTTTCTCTGTCCCCTTCTCTCTGGGTCTCTGTCCCCCCTCACCTCTGAGTCTCCTTCCTTTCTCTGGGTCTCTGTTTCTCTCTGGGTCTCTGTCCTCCTCTCTCTGAGTCTCTGCTCCCCTTTCTCTGGACCGCTGTACCCCTGCTCCCTCCCCCAGGCCTCTGGAATGACAAGCGCAGTGTGGCTATGACAGCCCTCTGGTCTCTGGCTGCCCTGGCTTCCTGTCCTCTCCTCCTGCCATGCCTGGTGATCCCGGGGTGTCCCCCCTTACTCTAGCTCCTGTCCCCTCAGCTATGAATCCAGCTTCCTCCTCCTTGCCTTGCTTTTGGGAGCGCTCACTCCTCCAAGGCTGGGCACCATATACTGCTCGCTCACAGGACATTTCCTTTTTCTTCAGACCCTGATTTCCAGGACTATTTGCCGCTTTGGCCGCCTGGATTGTGTCGTCAACAATGCTGGCTACCGTGAGTTGCGAGGCCTGAGGGTCACTCTTCGCTGATGTCAGCCCACCGCCTGGCCCCCCAGCTCTTCCTCCTGCATCTCAATTTCTCCTTTCCCCGCCCCTGACTGCCCCTTCCCTCTTTCTGTCCACTTAGTTGGGACAATACAGTTGTGGAAGTCCCCAGGCCCAGGCTTAAATCCTGCTCTGTTCCATCCCTGCTGTGCATCCCCAGGCCTGCGTCCTCACCTCTCCATGCCTCAGTTTCTACATCTGTAGAAGGGAAGTGACCAGGACCATCATCATCGTCGTCGTTTCCTTATAGGGTTGTTGTGAGCAATGAATGAGGTAAACCGCTGGCCTCATAACTACCATAACTGTCTGGGCACAAGCTTCTGCCATGCAGCCTCACCGTGCTTGTTTATGAAGTGACGCTGGTGGCCCTTCTCTTTGCCAATGACAGTGAAGATGTACTCACTGTGCATGGTCGATAGGACTTGGTATGGTGGCTTCTAAGGGAAATTGCCGTCAGCTTAATGACCCTTCATTAGAATGTCTCACATGGGTAAACTGAGGCTCAGAGAGTGAATTGATTGGACTGGGGTCACGCAGCAAGGCCATAGCAGAGAGAAGCCTCCCTTGTCAGGCTCTCCTAACTGCATTTTTGTCCTTATATTGTTGTGAGGATTTAAAGAAGTAGCAGATACTAGTTTATCGTTTCTCTCTGTCCTTTGTTCAGCGGATGTTTATTGAGCCACTACTGTGTCCCCTAATTCTTCATGGGGAGTGGGGATTTAGCAGTGAACAAAACAGACAAAACATCCTCGTAGAATCACATTCTAGAGTAGGGAAATGGACAAGAAAAGAAACATACAGTCCGTCTTCATTATTTGTGGATTCCTTTTTGCGAATTCACCTACTTGCTAAAATGTATTTGTAATCCCAGAATCAGTACTTACGGTGCTTTCCTGGTTATCCGCGGACATGCACAGAATGGCAAAAACTATGAGTCACTGGTAGCACATGTTCCCCACTGAGGTCAACAAGGCGACGCTCTGCCTCTTGTCTCAGCTCTCAGAGATGCCCGGAGGGTGGAGACCATAAGCGGTGGTGCAATGCCAGAGCTCTGGGGCCACCTGGGCAGGTTTAAATCCCAACTCCAGCACCTGCTAGTGTGGTGACCTCAGGCAAGTTCCTTACCACTTCTGAACTTGGTTTTCTGCTTTGTAAAACAAGGAAAATAGAGTCTACCAGGATGAGCTGTTTTTAGAGTTTAATATTATAATCTATGTTAGGGCCGGCCCGTGGCTCACATGGGAGAGTGCGGTGCTGATGGCACCAAGGCCACGGGTTCGGATCCCATATAGGGATGGCCGGTTCGCTCACTGGCTGAGCGTGGTGCTGACAACACCAAGTCAAGGGTTGAGATCCCCTTACCGGTCATCTTTAAAAAAAAAAAAAAGAAAGAAAGAAAATTATAATATATGTTAGATATGTGTATATCAATATACATATCTATATACATATGTACATATGTACATATGTAAATATATATTTATGAAGGTATTTCGACAACTTTGTGGAAAAATAGAATTAAAAGATGATATCAGTCTTTTCATGAGCTATTTCAAGTACCCTTCTATGTACATATTTTATCTATTGTATTATTGTATGTCATTACTTATTCATATGTAATCGTGTGTACATGTTATTACCTATTAAGTTACATGTACATATTTCCCCTCGGAGCAATGGGTCGGTATTCTCTAACTCAGAGTTCGTGGGGTGACTATAGAACACGATTCCTGTGAATAACCAAGACAACTGCATGTAATAGCACGGCCAGTGGTGACAAAGCCTGGGAAGAAGCATAAAGCAGACCGAGGGCGTAGAGGATGCCAAAGTCGTTTCAGACAGGGGGTCTGGGGAGGGTTCTCTGGAGATGTCATGGTATCTGGGGAGCAATAGTCCAATATTTCCTCAACTTTCTGTCCCTGGCCTTGTTTCCCATTTCTCTGTCCCTTCACCCACTCGTCTCCTAATGCCTTTGCAGCGTTCCTGGGTCCTTTCTTCCTGCTCCTTATCTTTTCCCTTTGTTCTTCCTCCCTCTCTTTCCAGCTTCTTGTCTTCTGAATGTTGATTTTTTTGTCACTCAGTCATGCCCCTCCCATTTATTTTATCTACTTTACAAACATATTTATGATATTAAGTGTCAGGTACAAATACTGACTTGTGAAATTTATAAGCCCAAGAACAATGTGTTATCCTCATCCTCCAGATGAAGAAACCGAGGCGCAGAAAGCAAAAGTGACTTGCCCAAGATCATGAAGCCAGGAAGTGGCAGGAATGAGATTCAAACCTGGGTCTTCTGGCCCCAGAGACCGCTTTTTTATTAACCACTTGCAGCCTCCTTCCTTTGCATGACCCCTGGGTCTCTTGTCTGTCACCCCCTCTTCCCCTCCCCCATATTTCCCCTTCCTGTTCTCCTGCCCACTCCTTCACTCCTCCTCTCTCTCCCACCCCCACTTTAGACCCACCCCCACAGTGGCCTGAGGAGACCTCTGCCGAGGGCTTCCGACAGCTGCTGGAGCTGAATCTGCTGGGGACTTACACCTTGATCAAGGTGAGGACCAGTCTCAAGTGGTCTCCTGACAACTGGGTTGTCAGATCTATTTTGTCTAAGAGCAAGATATTTTCTTTTCCTTAGTTTGATCTCCTATTCCAAAAGGTCCCTGTTCTCTGTAGAAAATAAATGAATGCAACACCAATGTCAAGGGTTCGGATCCCTGTACTAACCAACCACCCCAAAAAAATAAAAAAGAAAGAAAGAAAAAAATAAGTGGGTGCAAATCCCTACATCCAACAAAAGCTACCTGTGCAGCTACACAGCCTGGCCTTCTTAGGAAACTTCCAGGACCTTCCAAAGTGGCGTGATGGCAGTGGGAGGGGATGTTAAGTATATAGGGGAATGGGTTGATTGACCCAGGGAGTCAGTAATAGGCAGGTACAGCTTTGCCACCCAGTACATAGCTATTAGGATCAAAGAGGGCTCGCTGATTTGCTCAGTTGGTCACAGCACAGCCTTATAGCACAAAGGTGAAGACTTTGGATCCTCATACCTGCCAGCCACCAGAAAAAAAAAAGCCCATCTCCCCTTATGGTGCCTAACAGCACTGATGGATTATGGAGGAGGCTGCAATTTGGGAGGCCTAGGGCAGGGACCAAAAACGGAAGAGGAAACCTGAAGCTCAGCCATGACCCAGGAAAGCTTGAGTGGCTGCTGCAGCATCAGGTCGGGGCAAGACCCTTGAGTCTGAGCACCAAGAGCCCCCATCCTGATTCTACTCCCCCCACCTCCCAGGGATCAGATAACTGTGCACCCTGCAGCCAAGGTCTGGAGCCTGGGGAATCCAGGGCCTGGGGAGGTGGGCTTTACTCAGAGAGGTGGTTCCCACCCCAGGGCCTTTCTCCTTGCTGTTCCCTCCACCTGGAACGCCCTTCCTTGGAATCATACCATAGCTGTTCCTAATTATCTCAGTTCAAATGTCACCTCCTCAGAAAGGCCCTCCCTAACCATCCTTGCTTATGTGGCACACACAATACACACACATATTCATTCTCTATGATAACGGCTTGTTTATTTTCTTAATAGCAATTTATTTATTTTTTTTAAATAAAGATGACCGGTAAGGGGATCTTAACCCTTGACTTGGTGTTATCAGCACCACACTCTCCCGAGTGAGCCACAGGCCGGCCCCCTTCATAGCATTTTTTTAAATACTCAGCACCAGCAATGTGCTAAGCGCTGGGTATACAGCTGTGTACAAAGCAGATAAAAATCTGCCTTGGGGAACTGCCATTCTAGCTGGGGAGACAGGCAGTAAGGAAGTAAATATAGAATACAACATCAGGGGGCCAGCCTGTGGCTCACTCGGGAGAGTGTGGTGCTGATAACACCAAGGCCCCGGGTTCGGATCCCATTTAGGGATGGCCGGTTGGCTCACTGGCTGAGCGTGGTGCTGACAACACCAAGTCAAGGGTTAAGATCCCCTTACCGGTCATCTTTAAAAAAAAAAAAGAGGGCCGGCCCGTGGCTCACTCGGGAGAGTGCGGTGCTGATAACACCGCCCGTGGCTCACTCGGGAGAGTGCGGTGCTGATAACACCAAGGCCCCGGGTTCGGATCCCATTTAGGGATGGCCGGTTGGCTCACTGGCTGAGCGTGGTGCTGACAACACCAAGCCAAGGGTTGAGATCCCCTTACCGGTCATCTTTAAAAAAAAAAAAAAAGAATACAACATCAGGGAGTGATAACGCTATGCAAAAAAGTGAGGGAAAGTAAGGGGATAAAGAGTGTTGGGTATGTATATACGCTATTTTATAACACTTTTTATAATGGCATTTTTCAAGTATACACAAAAGCAGAATCATATATTGAACCCCATGTGCCCATCACTGAGTGCCAATAATTATCAGCATTCTATCATTCTTGCCCCTTGTAGCCTCCTTTTTGTGTGTTTATGTTTTTTGTTTTTGTTTTTGTTTTTCTGAAGTACTGTAAAACAAATTCCAGACTTCATACTATTTCACTGGTAAATAACTTCGTCTGTATCTTTACCAGTTGAGGGCTTTTTTTAAAAAGGGGGGGATTTGTGTGCTCTTTTAGACAGGGTGGGGTGATCAGGGAAGGAGGCCTCTCTGAGAGGTGATGTTTGAGTCAAAACCCGAAGGAGGTGTGTGGGGAAAAGCTGTTGAGACAGGAACAGCCAGTGCAAAGGCCCTGGGGTGGGATGGTGCTTGGAGTCTAAGAGGAACAGCAGGGAGGCCAGTGTGGCTGGAACCGAGTGAGTGAGGGGGGAAGGCAGGAGATGAGGGCAGAGAGGGGCAAAGGGTCCCAGATTGTATGGGACCTTGTAGGCCACCAAGAGGACTTTGCTTTGACACTGACTACGGGGCTCCTGAAGTGTTCTGAACGAAGGGACGGGAGCTGCATAGGTGGGAACTGGTGCCCTCTGGTGGCCACATGAGGAACAGACTGCGGGGTGAGAGCTGCGGCAGGGGCTGGGAGAGAAGGTCACTGGGTAGTTGAGGTGCGAGTGACGTTGGATTAGACCAGGCTGGTGGCCGTGGACTTGGTGAGAAGTAATCAGATTCTGGACCCTTTTTTCTTTCTTTTTTGCAGCAGGGTCAGGTTATCCGGATCCATTTTGAAGGTAGATCTGTCAAGACTTCCTTAAGGACCAGATGTGTGGGTGGACTGGGAAAAGAGAGGAGTAGGTTTTGGGGCCTATGGGAGTACTTCAGAAAGTTCATGGGGAAAAAAAGTTCATGGAAAGGTTCACGTCATCTTTTAATTATATTTTTCCATAAACTTTTTGAAGTACGCTTTTGTTCCTCCTACTCTTACCCCCAGCTACTGGCAGGACACAGCTGCCATCCTCTGGGGCTGGGAAGCCTGGGAGAGGAGCAGGTCCAAGCTTAGAAGAAAGGACTCGGGCCGGCCCGTGGCTCACTCGGGAGAGTGTGGTGCTGATAACACCAAGGCCACGGGTTCAGATCCCGTATAGGGATGGCCGGTTCGCTCACTGGCTGAGCGTGGTGCTGACAACACCAAGTCAAAGGTTGAGATCCCCTTACCGGTCATCTTTAAAAAAGAAAAAATAAGAAGAAGAAGAAAAGACTGTTGAGGGTCAGATCCCTCTGGACATCCACATGGGGTTGGCCAGTGGCCATGGGATTCACTTGTCTGGGTGAGGGTCAAGGTCTGGAGACATCAGTTTGGGGCTCACCAGCCTGAGGCTCAAAAAGCTCAGGGAAGCAAGTGTAGGCAGAGAGGGCAGAGGGCAGAGGCCAGAGGCCAGAGGAGTGGGGGAAGCTCAGGTGCTGACTTTCAGGTCCTATCTGAGATCCAGGTGAAATGTCCCCAGGGACATTGTTCACCTTGCTCAACCAGTTAACCCTGCCTCCTGTCCCCAACTTTTGTTGGCTTTCTAAGATTGACTGAACCCTTAAAACACCTCCACACATAAGACAAACATATACCACAGCCCATAAGGGTTAATGCTCATATATTTTATTTTATTTGTAAAAGACGACTGGTAAGGGGATCTGAACCCGTGGCCTTGGTGTTATCAGCACCGCACTCTCCCGAGTGAACCATGGGCCGGTCCAATGCTCGTATATTTTATACACACACACACACACACACACACACACACAGACACACATTATTTGTCAACATTTAAAAAGACACAGCTTTTGCATAAACAACCAAATTTCTAGTTTCTCTTTAAAAGTCAGCAGAGTTGGTAAACTGGACGCATAGAGCAGAGAGACAGTCTGCTAAATGTAACCCAGCTTTCCACTGTATCCCAGTCCCTGCTTCCTACAGGTACCTTTGTGCTACCTGACCCTGTTACCTGTGAGCGACCTATATAGATGCCTCATGTGGGAGTTAAGAGTCTGGATGTAACTTCCTACCTGCAACATCATGCGAGTTACTCAGCTTCTGCGCCTCTGTTTTCTCATCTGTACAATGATGCTAATAACGGTACCTAATTTACAGAGTTCTGAGGATTGAATGAGAGTAAAAATTCACAAAGCCCTTAGAATATGCCTGACACAGAGTTTACCCTCTGAAAGTTATTATTTATCACAAACCTTGCCCCATTTTGTTTCCTTTGGCTAACCCACTTCACTCAGTTTGAGATCCCTATGATACATGTTGAGTAAATGGAGCTTGGGGCAAGTAGAAGGGAAAAGGTGAGTAGGAGGGAGGGATGTGGAGAAGCAGGGCACAGGGTATTTCACGCTCCAAGGAGAGGGTGCAAAAGCCCTGGGCAGGAACCACTGGGTATATCTTAAGAACGTCTTAAGCAATTCCCAGCTTCAGCAATTACAAACATTTTATTAAACTTCTATCCATTGCCTTCTGTACCCAGAAGTTATATGTTGTCTTCACCCAGACATCATATAATTTCATCATTGAGAACGTCATACTGCCAATGGAGTAGGATGTTTTTTATTTTTATTTTGACTTAATTTAAGACTTTAAAAATATTGCCAGAATAGTACAGAGAAGTCATGTATATCCAGACATTCCATCATTAATATTTTACCACATTTGCTTTATTTTTTTATCTATCTACCTAGTTTTTCCCTTTGGACTATCTAAGAGTAAGTTGTAGGCGTGATGCGCCTTTACATCTAGGTACTTTGGAGTGTATTTTCTAAAAACAAGAACATTTTTATACAGTCCCAGTGAGCTTGTCAAAATCAGGAGATTAAGGGCCGGCCCGGTGGCGCACTGTGCTAGTGCACCGCTTGGGAAGCGCAGCGGCGCTCCCGTCCGAGGGTTCGGATCCCACATACAGACCGGTTCCCGCTCACTGGCTGAGCGAGGCGCGGGAGCAACACCGAGGCTTGCGATCCCGTTGCCGGTCCCCGGTCCGGTGCGGGGGCAACACTGAGGGTTGCGATCCGTTGCCGGACACGGAAAAAAGACAAAAGACAAAAGACAAAAAAAAAAAATCAGGAGATTAACATCAATACCATGTTTTTAGCTAATCTACAGACCTTCTGATTTAGATTATTAGGATTCCTGACATGATCACACTTGTGTTAG